AATGAGCCACTCTGTCTACAGAAAAGCTACCCATACAGATGCTTACTTGAAACCGGATTCCCACCACCATCCATCCCAGAAGAACTCCCTCATCAAGACTCTATACCATAGAGCCCAATGCATTTCCGACCAGGAACACATTACCAGTGAACTCAAACACATACACCAGGCTCTCAGGGCTAATGGTTACTCCGACTACACAATCCGCAAAGCCATCACTCCAGTCATGAATAAGGATCCTCTTGTGGAGCCACTCAAATCCATCACCTTACCCTACATTGCAGGGGTCACTGAAAAGATCTCCAAAATCCTGAATAAACACAAGATCCAGGTCCGATTCAACACAGTACATAAAATCCGTGATCTGGTTCCATCTGTAAAAGATGCTGTTCCAGACATACAGTACCCGGGCGTTTACAAACTAAAGTGCTTCTGTGGTAGTAGCTACATTGGAGAAACCAAACGACATATCTCGGACCGCATCCGCGAACCTGAAGCAGACTTGAAACACGATAGAACGAACTCCTCCGCCGTGGCAGATCACTGTTATAATTCAGTGGGCTCACATGACATTGACTTCTCCAAGACGGAGGTTCTTTGCAAGCCAACCGGCTACCATGAGAGATTCGTTCATGAGGCTATCCACATATACAAGCACAGAGACAATTTCAACCGAGAAGATGGATTCTGGTTTAGTAACCATTGGAAAGATGTTTTAAACCATTTCGGTTCTTAATTAATTATTTCATGGTGACCTTCAGACCGCAGCTCTTTCGCTGGCATTGACTCTTAATACTTCTCACACCACGGTTAATGGTATGGTTTATAACATGATTATAACAGCGCCTCGCAGCTGTTTCTCTCCTCTGTTCCGACCATGATGGACTCGTTCGTCTGAACGGGGCTCGTAAAGGTCCGTGGTGCTGATGTGCAGGATAACAATCCACCCATTTTTTGACGACGATGATGTGGATTGGGGCAAGAGGTGGAGGCTGCGCTATCCACTACTACTAATATAGGGAAGGGTTCACGTGAGGTCAGTGGAGATGGGGTGGAAACAGGTGCAGAGTCCTGCATGAGGGAAGGTTCGGGAAGGGAAGTAGAAGACGGTGGAGCCTGCTGGAAGCATCTACCGGGGGAAAGTGCTGGAAGTTGCCGGGGCGGGTAGCCGAGCGGGGATCTACGGGGGGGCGAGGCTCACGGGGACTGAAGGACGACTGAGAGTGGACGACATCGCCACCTGTTGGAGATCTACACCATGGGCACCATCAAGAAGGACTGTCTGGGATCTACACCATGGGAACCATCAAGAAAGACTGTCTGGGATCTACACCATGGAAACCATCAAGAAAGACTGTCTGGGATCTACACCATGGGGACCATCAAGAAAGACTGTCTGGGATCTACACCATGGACACCATCAAGAAAGACTGTCTGGGACCTACACCATGGGAACCATCAAGAAAGACTGTCTGGGATCTACACCATGGACACCATCAAGAAAGACTGTCTAGGATCTACACCATAGGAACCATCAAGAAAGACTGTCTGGAATCTACACCATGGAAACCATCAAGAAAGACTGTCTGGGATCTACACAATGAACAACATTAAGAAAGACTGTCTGGGATCTACACCATGGGGACCATCAAGAAAGACTGTCTGGGATCTACACCATGGACACCATCAAGAAAGACTGTCTGGGATCTACACCATGGACACCATCAAGAAATACTGTCTGGGATCTACACCATGGAAACCATCAAGAAAGACTGTCTGGGATCTACACCATGGAAACCATCAAGAAAGACTCTCTGGGATCTACACGATGGGAACCATCATGAAAGACTGTCTGGGATCTACACCATGGGGACCATCAAGAAAGACTGTCTGGGATCTACACCATGGACCCCATCAAGAAAGACTGTCTGGGATCTACACCATGGGGACCATCAAGAAAGACTGTCTGGGATCTACACCATAGGGACCATCAAGAAAGACTGTCTGAGATCTACACCATAGGAACCATCAAGAAAGACTGTGTGGGATCTACACCATGGGGACCATCAAGAAAGACTGTCTAGGATCTACACCTTGGAAACCATCAAGAAAGACTGTCTGGTATCTACACCATGGACACCATCAAGAAAGACTGTCTGGGATCTACACCTTGGAAACCATCAAGAAAGACTGTCTGGGATCTACACCATGGGGACCATCAAGAAAGACTGTCTGGGATCTACACCATGGGAACCATCAAGAAAGACTGTCTGGGATCTACACCATGACACCATCAAGAAAGACTGTCTGGGATCTACACCATGGGGACCATCAAAAAAGACTGTCTGGGATCTACACCATGGGGACCATCAAGAAAGACTCTCTGGGATCTACACCATGGAAACCATCAAGAAAGACTGTCTGGGATCTACACCATGGACACCATCAAGAAAGACTGTCTGGGATCTACACCATGGAAACCATCAATAAAGACTGTCTGGGATCTACACCATGGACACCATCAAGAAAAACTGTCTGAGATCTACACCATGGGGACCATCAAGAAAGACTGTCTGGGATGTACACCATGGGGACCATCAAAAAAGACTGTCTGGGATCTACACCATGGAAACCATCAAGAAAGACTGTCTGGGATCTACACAATGGAAACCATCAAGAAAGACTGTCTGGGATCTACACCATGGGGACCATCAAGAAAGACTGTCTGGGATCTACACCATGGAAATCATCAAGAAAGACTGTCTGGGATCTACACCATGGACACAATCAAGAAATACTGTCTGAGATCTACACCATGGAAATCATCAAGAAAGACTGTCTGGGATCTACACCATGGACACCATAAAGAAAGACTTCTGGGATCTACACCATGGGAACCATCAAGAAAGACTGTCTGGGATCTACACCATGGGGACCATCAAGAAAGACTGTCTGGGATCTACACCATGGGAACCATCAAGAAGGACTGTCTGGGATCTACACCATGGGCACCATCAAGAAAGACTGTCTGGGATCTACACCATGGACACCATCAAGAAAGACTGTCTGGGATCTACACCATGACACCATCAAGAAGGACTGTCTGGGATCTACACCATGGGGACCATCAAGAAAGACTGTCTGAGATCTACACCATGGGGTCCATCAAGAAAGACTGTCTGGGATCTACACCATGGAAACCATCAAGAAGGACTGTCTGGGATCTACACCATGGGGACCATCAAGAAAGACTGTCTGGGATGTACACCATGGACACCATCAAGAAAGACTGTCTGGGATCTACACCATGGACACCATCAAGAAAGACTGTCTGGGATCTACACCATGGGGACCATCAAGAAAGACTGTCTGGGATCTACACGATGGACACCATCAAGAAGGACTGTCTGGGATCTACACCATGGGACCATCAAGAAAGACTGTCTGGGATCTACACCATGGACACCATCAAGAAAGACTGTCTGGGATCTACACCATGACACCATCAAGAAAGACTGTCTGGGATCTACACCATGGGACCATCAAGAAAGACTGTCTGGGATCTACACCATGGGGACCATCAAGAACGACTGTCTGGGATCTACACCATGGACACCATCAAGAAAGACTGTCTGGGATCTACACCATGGACACCATCAAGAAAGACTGTCTGGGATCTACATGGTGGAAACCATCAAGAAAGACTGTCTGAGATCTACAGAGTGGAAACCATCAAGAAGGACTGATCTAGCGGAAACCACCGGGCTGCAGAGAGTCGTAGCCTTGAGAAACGTGTGAGTCATACACTCGACTTGTAAAACGTTCATGTAGAATAAATCATCTCGAAAATGAAACCTGTGAAGGAGCTTGTTTACAACAATAAAAGATGCTCTAGAGAGACAAAGCAAATATTGGGGTGACCGCACCACCCCCTGAGATGATAATAACGCAGTTACTACGCCACTGATAATGTAGTTACTACGCCACTGATAATGTAGCTACTACACCACTGACAATGTAGTTACTACACCATTGATAATGTAGTTACTACACCACTGATAATGTAGTCACTACGCCACTGATAATGTAATTACTACGCTACTGATAATGTACTTACTACACCACTGATAATGTAGTCACTACACCATTGATAATGTAGTCACTACACCACTGATAATGTAGTCACTACACCATTGATAATGTAGTCACTACACCACTGATAATGTAGTTACTACGCCACTGATAATGTAGTTACTACGCCACTGATAATGTAGTTACTATGCCACTGATAATGTAGTTACTACGCCACTGATAATGTTGTTACTACGCCACTGATAATGTAGTCACTACGCCACTGATAATGTAGTTACTACGCCGCTGATAATGTAGTTACTACGCCACTGATAATGTAGTCACTACGCCACTGATAATGTAGTTACTACGCCGCTGATAATGTAGTTACTACGCCACTGATAATGTAATCACTACACCACTGATAATGTAGTTACTACACCACTGATGATGTAGTCACTACACCACTGATAATGTAGTTACTACACCACTGATAATGTAGTTACTACACCACTGATAATGTAGTCACTACACCACTGATGATGTAGTTACTACACCACTGATAATGTAGTTACTACACCATTGATAATGCAGTTACTACGTCACTGATAATGTCGTTACTACGCCACTGATAATGTAGTTACTACGCCACTGATAATGTTGTTACTACGCCACTGATAATGTTGTTACTACGCCACTGATAATGTAGTTACTACGCCACTGATAATGTAGTTACTATGCCACTGATAATGTAGTTACTACGCCACTGATAATGTAGTTACTACACCACTGATAATGTAGTTACTACATCACTGATTATGTAGTTACTACGCAGCAACCAAATGGACACGCGGTGAAGGCAACACTCAAGGACAAAGATCACCCGTAGCCTTAACAGACTGTTTTGGAGGTGGGGCGGGTGGCCTCACCTTGAGCAGCGAAGACTTCCCCACCGTGGAGTCCCCCACCAGGATGAGACGGAACTGGTAGACCCAAATCGCCTCCATCACTTCGTGCACTCGGAGCCCGAGCCTCGCTGCCGCCTGGGTCACCAGGGCGACGCCCGGCGTCTCTCTGCCTCTCTGTGTGTCCGTCCGTCCGTCCGTAGGTGTCTGTGTGTGTCTTGTCTTTGTGTGTATGCTGGACTTCTTTCGCACCGTACGTAGCCAACCGTGCTAATCGTAGTTGCGAGGGAAGGACATCAAACTAAACACAAAAAGCAGTGATCTGTGTGTGTGTCTGTGTGTGTCTGTGTGCGTCTCTCTCTGTCTCTCTCTCTGTCCCCCTCGCTAGATGTGGTGGGGTGGAGCGAGTCCCCTCACTCTCCTGACTCCACTCCTGCAGACAAGAAGAGACAGAGCGCCAATTGCGTTTAGCCTGCATCAAACACAGCCCCGATGAACAAAACAATAATTTGTTTGTACCCTTTCTGGCAATTAAACAGTTTTGTTAAGATGTTCACATACCAACTAGACACACACACACACAGCTATTGCAAGGCATCATCAAGTACTGCATTAATCACACACAGGACTTGTAGCGAAACATGCAAACAAACATCCTCTGATAATAATAATAAATGCATTGTTTTAAACCGATTGGCCTACATCAGAGACCGAAGCCTTCTCCATGACTTAGTCTCACCACCGGTGTCAAACCAGAGAACAACGGCAAAAGGCGAACAGCACAAAGATAATGCCACAAGTATCAAAGTGTTCATATCTCGGGTTGAGCAGCTACATCTATGGGATACATTTTTTTACAGTGCATATCAAAATGATGGCAATAAAACAGTTGTGTTAAGATGTTCAAACACCAACTGGACACACACACACAGCTATTGCAAGGCATCATCAAGTACTGCATTAACCAAACAGTACTTGTGGCACATCAAGCAAGCACTCTGATAATGTTACTTGCATTGTCTTTGAAACTGATTGGCCTACACTAGACTTACAGGCAGCCTTCTTGATGGCCTAGTCTCACCACCACTGTCAGTAGACCAGAGAACAACGCTAAAAGGCAAATAGCGCAAAGACAATGCCACAAGTATCAGAGGACTTATAGCTCGGTGTGAGCAGTCATATCGATGGGATACCTTTTTTTTGCCAGGATCAAAGTATGAAAAATAAGAATAGGTTTTATCCTTTCTGGAAATTAAACAACAGTTCTGTTCAGATGTCCAAACACCAAATATAGATTCAACCTTTTCCAAGGCATCATCAAGTTTACTGATGTAGGGGTGTTGCAGGAAGGGAGCACACAGTGACATCATGGTGGCTACAACCACGTCCGCTACAGCCCCGCCCCTCAGTGGTGTGTGGGAATAAAGGGCGGGGAGCCAGAGAGCTCGGGGCAGTGTTTTGGGGCCAAGAGCGATGAACCAGTGAAGAAGGAAGGCCGGCTAGATAGACCCTGGGACTTCCCTGACCGCTGTCCTTTTAAGGGCCGGCAGGGCAAGCCGGTGGTGCGGCCCCAGAGCCTCAGAGCCGGAGCCCTTCTAAGGGTCAGTCTGTCTGGTGGGGTGCCGTGATCTGTGCCATGACCAGGGCCGGGTCAGATAGCCTCCTCGAGCGCCTGTAGCTGTAGGAACTGGGAGCACAGGAGTTAGGCTGTTAGCCTAGAGGGTGTCCCAGCGTGTGTACGGGTAAAGGGGCCGTTACCCCTTCCAGTGTAACCCTTGCCAAGCTTGAATAAACAGTGCTGCCTCTACTCCACCGTCTCCGTGTCCCGTGAACCCACTACAGATGAACCACACACAGTACTTGTGACAAAGCATGCAAAGCACACGTGCTGTGATCATATTTGATGGCATTGTCTTTGAAACTGATTGGCCTACACCACAGGCAGACAGCCTTCTTCATGGCCTAGTCCGTGTCAGACAAGAGAACAGCGCTGCAAGGACAGACCTCGCGTCAGAGCACTTACAGCTCGGGGTGAGCAGCTTTGTCTACGGGGCCTGCAATGGTAAAGCCGACTCTTATTTTTCCATACTTTGATACTGGCTAAAAAGGTCCCATTTAGTAACGTAAATATTGCAAAGGGCAAACTCCGACCGCTACTAACTACGACGGAGCCGTCCATATCAAAACGATGAAACAATAATTCTAGATTCGAAGTTTTCGTGACTGCAATGATCCGCCCTCTTTAATTCTATCGGTAAAGTCACGTAGGTAAAAAAAGAAACTAAAGTTAATCAAATCACGACGTTTCGGCAGAAACACAAGCCTCCGTCATCAGGTGGGATAGTCACAGCAAGTAGTAAATTGACATTTTAACAACTGTTTTACTTCCGAAACGTCGTGATTTGATTAACTTTATTCTATTTATTTCCTACGTGACTTTGCCGAAAGAACCAAAGACGGTGATACAATAATCATCGGCTGTGCCAGCCCTCGCTGGCAATAAAACAGCCGTTGTGATCAAGTGAATCATTTGGCAGGACCCCGGGGTCCCGCAAAAATCAGGTCAATAATTATTATTTCTCAGTCCGCCCACTCGTGATCCCGACAGCAACACGCCACCCGCCCAGACTCGCGCCAAACAAGCGCCAGCAGCAGGCGGCGATCGACACGATGGGCGCCACCCCCACCGGCCAAACGCAAGCCCCGGGGGGCGTCCGCCGCAGTCGTGCGCGGCGACGACGCCCTCCGGTCAGCTGTCGATCCTCAGTTTATTTGCCTAGGCGAGCCCCCCCCCAGGCAGTGAATTTAACGTGTTTATGTAATTTTTCAACTTTTTACGAAACTTAGTGTCCCCGAGTAGCTCTCGACGAGGCCAATCGATTGACGCTAGTTTTGTTGTCGGTAAGGCAACAAGATTCGTGTCGCTACGCGGGTTTTCCCACCCTGGGGCAGTGATGGGACCCCGGGGGTCCCGCCAATTGCTTCAAGTGTTCAAACACCGAATAGACACTACACACAATTGCAAGGAATCATAAAGTACTGCATTAACCACACACACGGTACTTGTGGCAGTTTTTGATACTGGCAAAAAACAAACGTCCCCGTAAGGTCAGGATCGAACCCACGACCTCCTGCACAACAGGCGAGGTAGTTAACATCTCCTAGCCACCGTGATGAGTGAGAGAGACACAGACTCCAAATCTACAGCAGGGGCATCGTCAGGGTCGGGATCGAACCCACGACCTCCTGCACACCAGGCGAGGTAGTTAACATCTCATAGCCACCGTGATGATGATGAGAGAGAGACACAGACTCCAAATCTACAGCAGAGGGCATCGTCAGGGTCGGGATCGAACCCACGACCTCCTGCGCACCAGGCGAGGTAGTTAACGTCTCGTAGCCACCGTGATGATGATGATGAGAGAGAGAGACGCAGACTCCAAATCTACAGCAGTGGGCGTCGTCAGGGTCAGGATCGAACCCACGACCTCCTGCACACCAGGCGAGGTAGTTAACATCTCGTAGCCACCGTGATGATGATGAGAGCGAGACACAGACTCCAAATCTACAGCAGGGGGCATCGTCAGGGTCGGGATCGAACGCACGACCTCCTGCGCACCAGGCGAGGTAGTTAACGTCTCATAGCCACCGTGATGATGATGAGAGAGAGACACAGACTCCAAATCTACAGCAGGGGGCATCGTCAGGGTCGGGATCGAACCCACGACCTCCTGCACACCAGGCGAGGTAGTTAACATCTCATAGCCACCGTGATGATGATGAGAGAGAGACACAGACTCCAAATCTACAGCAGAGGGCATCGTCAGGGTCGGGATCGAACCCACGACCTCCTGCGCACCAGGCGAGGTAGTTAACGTCTCGTAGCCACCGTGATGATGATGATGAGAGAGAGAGACGCAGACTCCAAATCTACAGCAGGGGGCGTCGTCAGGGTCAGGATCGAACCCACGACCTCCTGCACACCAGGCGAGGTAGTTAACATCTCGTAGCCACCGTGATGATGATGAGAGCGAGACACAGACTCCAAATCTACAGCAGGGGGCATCGTCAGGGTCGGGATCGAACGCACGACCTCCTGCGCACCAGGCGAGGTAGTTAACGTCTCATAGCCACCGTGATGATGATGAGAGAGAGACACAGACTCCAAATCTACAGCAGGGGGCATCGTCAGGGTCGGGATCGAACCCACGAGCTCCTGCGCACCAGGTGAGGTAGTTAACGTCTCGTAGCCACCGTGATGAGACGTCAACCTACGACAACTCGTTGTTATTGTTGGTATTTTACCAGGTGTGAGGCCCACTGAGCTGTACGAGCCACTCCGTTGAGCTATCACGTGGCCACGTCGCTTCTGAGAAAGAGTTGCATGTTTTAATTCTACATACAGATTAATACCGACTCATGTATTCATTCTGTTCACGATCGTTCGCTCACCGAATCGCTCACTCATTCATTCTTATTTTCCTTTGATCCGTTTTGCTGTTGATAGTATCCATTCCATCATTTATCAAACTGAGTCGTTCACACGATTAACCAGCCACTCGCTCAATCATTCATCTCCCCGAATCGGTCACTTTCTGAGTGACTCATTGAGCAAGTCACTCATTCGTTGATTCATTCACCGAGTGAGTGATTATCTGCACCGCTCATTCGACCATTGCCTGGTGTAATCACGAACTCCTTCAGCAATTTAATCATTCGCTAATTGGATTCCTCACTCGCCGAGTCATTCATCCAATCGTGAGCTCAATCACTCCTTGCACTGTGAACTCATTCAGCTACTGAATCATTCACTCACTGTTGAACTCACGAATTGAATGACTAAATAATTCGTTCAACAATTAACTCATTCATTGAATCCTTCACTCACTGGTTCAGCCAATTACCTCATTCATGGATCCATTCACCGAATTACTCACTCATTCACTCACTGGATCATTCACTCACCGTTGAACACACGAATTGAATAACTAAATAAGTCGTTCAACAATTAACGCATTCATTCAATCAGTCACTGAATAATTAACTCACTGAATCACTCATTAATTTAATAATTCACCCACAAAATAACGTAATCAGCAAATCACTCGTTCAGCCAATTAACTAATTCATGGATTCATTCATTGAATCACCCACTAACTCGTTCACTCACTAAATCATTCACTCACCGTTGAACTCACAAATTGAATCAATAACTCATTCAGCGAATTAACTCATTCAGTGAATTAACTCATTCATGGATTCATTCATCGAATCACTCACTG